AGTCTTTGCCTTCTTGGAGCTGAGGTTCTAGTCAGGGTAAGAGACAAAAAAAAAAAAATCAGTTAACAGAATTTCAGAGTGATACATTTCACAGAGGAGGTAGGAAGTAAATGTATATTTCTCTTTTGAGACATTTAACTATGAAGGTAAATGAAAGGGATGGATGGGAGGTCAGGGGGAAGTTGTTTTTAGTTTTGTTCTAATTTTAAAAATTATTTTTAAAGATGGGCAACATCGGAGCATGTTTGTATGTTGACATGGATGGTGCCTTGGAGGGTTGCTGATGATGCAAAAGAGACAAATTCAGGAGTAAGTCCTTGAGTAGGTATGAGGGGGAATATGGAAGGGAGGGAAGCTGGCCTCTCATAGGAAGAAAACATAAAACATGAGCCCTAAGAAAGGTGGATTTCTAGATTTGGTGAGTGGAAGTTGAGTGGTATCTGTCTTATAACTTCTAAACCTCAATGAAATATGAAGCCTGCTTATCTGCATGGGGGAAGGGTAGGCTGCTCATGAGTTTAAAGAGTGGGAAGAAATTATTAAATAGTTATAGGCAAAAATATTAGGAATCTGATCGCTTTCCTGGGCAGTGCTGAGAGTCCACTTCAGATTTCTGGTCATGAATCTGAAGTTCTCTAATATTCAACCACTTATCTGCACTCATGGAAAAACCAGATGAGAGACAAAATAGCTATAAATAGAAAAAAATTCCTGGCTAAAAAATAAAATAAAAAAATATGTATCCAAGAGCATATGTGTATCCATGTCACAGTCACTAACAATGTCCAATCAAGCTGTGGTCTACATAGCTCCATTTGTCTCTACCTTCTCACCACAGAAATTCTTGTAAATAATATATTTGTCATAGTTAGTCATGACATACTTAATCATAAAGCTTAAAGATTATTTCTTTTTGGTCATGAATGCTTTTGCTACTTCCTAAGGTAGTTTTTTTTTTTTTTTAAAGAGATTTTATTTATTTATTTGACAGAGAGAGTGAGAGAGCACAAGCAGAGGGTGTAGCAGAGGGAGAGGGAGAAGCAGGCTCCCTGCTGAGCAGGGAGCCCGATGTGGGCTCCATCCCCAGGATGCTGGGATCATGACCTGAGAGGAAGGCAGATGCTTAACCAACTGAGCCACCCAGGTGCCCCCTAAGGTAGATTTTTTAAAATGCACCTGATAGTCTTGTACGTTTCAGAGGTTATTGCCATTTCATTGCTTGAAGAAACTTTCTCTGTGGTAACTGAGATTCTAAGACAGAAGATCCTAAAATCTTCCAGAGTGGGAGAAAAATAGGAATGGGGATTAGACTTGGATTGGACTTCTTAATAGCAACACCAGAAGCTAATAGAACAATGCCTTCAAAAGAGGGACACTAATTTTCAATCTAGAATATTCAGCTAAACCACTATTCGATTCACGTGTGGGGGTTAAATGAAGACATTTCCATATATGCAACTTCTGAATTCAGGAAGAATTTCAGTTTGTATGTGCCCTATCTCTGGAAGGTACAATAGAATAAGGAAGACATAGGATCCAAGAAATAAAGGATCCAACACAGGAGGAAGGCAAAAAGAATTCCCAGGATATGACAAAGGGAAGTCCTAGATGACAGGAAGGAAAAAGAAATGAAACAGATTACCTGAAAATATTGAAAGATTATCAGTTCTGTCAGATATTGAGGATGAGTCAGTGACTCGTACAAAGAAAACAAAGCAAATGAAAAACAAACAAAAGAGGCAATTATTTAATTTAGAGAAACAAAAGTATAAGATAGAAAATGTAATACTAGTATGCTATATGGCTCATCTGTGAATAACAGGTACACTGTCACAGTCATATAAATACTGAATACTGACTTGACTGGGAACTGTACTTATGTAGGACAACCAAGTCCTCAACATCCAAAATAGAAGTCCACAGATGATGTCCAAAGATGGAAAATCAATAAATAAGTTTAAACATTAAGAATGAAGTAAATATAAAGGTAAATACCAGAAAGAACTTCTAAGAGTTGAAAGCATTTCAACGTTCTGAAACTGATTTTACTACTCAGTCTAAAAAATGGCAATTTCATATAATACATTATAACATTACTTTATTACTGATTTTATTTTGTAAAAGATTTTATTTATTTTTGCGAGCATGCAGGGCGGGGGCGGGGGGGGGGGAGAGTGAGCACGCAAGCGCACGCACAACGCGCAGAGGGAGAAGCCGACTCCCTCCTGAGCAGGGAGCTCAATGCTGGACTCCATCCCAGGACCCTGGGATCATGACCTGAGCCAAAGGCAAATGCTCAACTGACTGAGCCACCCAGGTGCCCTATTACTGATTTTAGAATAAGCTGCCATTTGAAACAAAACAATTATTGATAGAAAGTGCTGAACAGAAAAAAAGCTCTACTTTCTGTTATCAGACATTGTTGGGGGAATAATATACCGCAGTTTGGGGTAACAAAGTGTTACTATACATGCTATCACCATCACTGACATAACAGTATTAGTATTACTAATATAAAGGCTATCTCTACTCCTAAAACGGCATTTAACATAATTTAATCTATTTTCATGATACAGAAATTACTTCAGAATTTTTCTTCAAACATCATACTACAGAAATGCTAAACGATGGGTTGGTAAAGAATTTGATTAACAGAATGCCGAATAAAAAGGCCAGGATGTTTTTAAGATCCTTTCTTGATACAAACAATAGCTAAGTCACTCTTGCAAAATAAAGTTCCACAATACTGTGTGGTACTATGCAAGCCTGTTTCAGTGATAATTCCGGTTATACTACTCTGTTTATCTAAGACTTCCCCTTATGATTTGTTTTAAGGGAATTCCTAAAAAAAATCTCATGCAGGCAGTTATAAATTATTGGGGTTGCTTCAATATTAAGTGACACTAGTTTATGAAGTTAATGAAGCCCTTGTTTTTAAGTTAACTTATTTTGAGTTAAGTTCATTGATACTAAAATTTTATTTAAATTCTTCATCATAAAACCAAAAGTTCTCCAAATTGAAAAGTCAACCTTTACTAATTTTACTTTTACAAAAAAAGAATTTGACCATGCTAACGTAAGTTAAGACTTTTACCAAGAATAATATATTCCTATCCAACCAATGGAAAATTTCCCCTTCAAATTAAAAGCAAATGTTTTCAATAGAGGGAATATTCATAAACAGATGCTGTGGAAGACTGCTTAGTTTGGATTTCATTTTGCACTAAAAACTACCAGGAATTAAAATACAGATGATTAAAAAATAATCTTAAAGAGAATCTTAAAACTGAACCAATTCGATTATTCATATCACCCAATAAGATCCTCTTAATTTTTTTACCACCACTATTCTCAATCAAAAGAGCACAGTAAACATCTATTTTGAAATGTGTTTCTTATATACAAGTTTAGCTAATTTCCTATCACTGCAAAATTATATGGGTAAAAAAGAAACTGAAAATGCAACTGACAATATTCTAAAACTTACAAAATCTGGTATAAAAAGAGAAAAAGGTCCAAATGAAAGACCAAAGAATAACTGTACTATTACAAATGCCTCCTTTTAATTGGTATGCATCAGCTGTAACTCTTCATAACTACCAGGACAACAAAGTCAGGCAGTCCAACCCATGGAACCAAAGTCTGTGGGAACCTGCAGAGCTTCCTTCTCTCTCTGGGGACGAGGACAAGGATAAAAGGTGTTCTGTTTTCCAGTAGTCCTGTAAGAGGAGCCATTGAGCTGGGCCACACAACCAGACAACAGAGCACAGGAAAATTCAGATCAAAGCAAGGACGCATGCCAGGGTAATATGCAATAAAACCCCTTGCCAAAGCACTCAGAAGAAAAAAGCAAGGAGGTGGAGAGAACCTGCTGGACCACCTTCTTAACCCAGGGAGGCAGGGAGAAACAAAATCTGCTTCTACTGAGGAGCTGAGAAGACAGTGTCCTACATATGTTGGAGTCTTTCTGTAGACGTGTATATGAGTAAATAGACATATTACCAACGAACTAAACCCAGAACGCAGTGTCCTGTCTGTTCTGGAGTATTCCCATACACATAATATAGGGGTATATTACCATTACCTAAACCCAAAAAGCAAAGTGTTCTAGGTATACAGATATACGAGAATGTTACCTTTCAATGAACATATAAAAATATTCATTTTCAATTAACAAAACGCACTGGTTTTACAGTAAGAAACATAAAATATTGTTTGAAAGAATATCAGAGACAAAACTGGGTGAAGTTCTGATGAATTAATATCTTTTTTCTTATACCCTTTTTAATCTCTGATTCTCTCATTTCATAGGGGATACAGAGGACGGACGGACGGACCGACGGACGGACGGACGCACGCACACAAAATTAGGTCTCCGGAAACAAAGGAGGGTCCTTAATTACCCGGCCTGTGAAAGCACACACGCCCCCCACCCACAGATAGGGGCCACCACCTGACTTTAATTAACGAGGAAGATGAGGCGAGAGGTCTCACCCTAGCCCACAGCCATGCACACAGTGACAAACGGGCACGAGACAAACGCCACAAAGAAAGGGGAGGGGCAGGTGGGGACCAGGAAAAACACTGCCACGCCGCACCCCCCAAGGCGCGTTCCCATCGCCAGCGCGGAGGCAGCCGTCCTCGCCATCCCCGTCCTCGCCTCCCCAGCCCGGGGACCGACGCCGGACACGGGCTAGCGGGGCGTGCGGGGCGCCGCGACCCTTCCCTCTGTGACCTCCCGGTGACAGACAGCCTCGCGCCGCCCTTTGTGCGGGACTCAGCCTCCGGCCCCGGTGGACCCCCCCCGCTCCGCGTCCCTCCTGGCCTGGGCCGCTGTCCCACCCTTCCCCGTCCCCGCCGAAACGCCCGGGAGTGTGAATGGGGGAGGCTGGCGCGGGCCCGCGGTCTCCTCAGCATCCCGAATCCCGAGCCGCCCGGTCCCCTCAGCCCCGGCCCGGGGGCGACGGTCCCCGACGCCCTGCTCTCGCTTCCTCACTTACTCGGGCGCGCCGGCTGCGGCGGCGGGTATGCGGGACCGTCAGCGCGAGGCGGCAGGAGGGAGGCTGCAGGCGGCGAGCGTCCGTCGGGACCGAGCGCGGCTGAGGTGGCGGCGGCCGACTGCGCGCTGCGGCCCCCGACGAGGGGCGGGCCCGGCGGGGGAGGGGCGGGCGCCGCGCCTCTCATTCATGCAGCGGGGGCGGGGTGAGGGACCCGGATGCCCGGGCAGCTCCCTCCCACCTCGCTGAGGGCGCCTTGGCTTCAGAGTATGCAGTGCGCAGGCGCGGCGCTCGGTGGCCTGTCCTGGTTCCGCCCCGCCCCCTGAGGGGGGCACTTCCACGGGCGGGGCTGCAGCTGGTAGACTGACTCCCTCATCTGTTTAGTATTTTTGCATGTTCTATAAACATTTTTTAAGGTGAAAGCTTGGGACGCCACCTCCTTCTTAGCGTCCAGCCTCCCAATCTCCGAGGGCACAGGAATGCCCATTAGTTAGATGGAAAGACAGTACACACCGCCCCTTTCCTCCATTTGTCTCTCCTGCAGCCCGTCCTCTCCGCTGAATGCTGGGACCATAGTGGTAGATGAGACCCAGAATCTGCCCAGATAGTGGAGAGAAGCGTGTGCAAGAAAGAATGCATTACATTATTTATTTGCATTGACCTGGTCCCCTCAGCCACCAGCTCTCAATTCCACAGGGCAGGCAAGAAATTGACCATGGTTTTGAAGAGGGCCCAGACCTTTCTGTAAAATCAAGGCCAGGGGTGTTGCAGCTCCAAGGATCTGTGGAGGCCCCTCGTCTTTGGTAGACGGTGTATTCTGTGGAGACACCCTCCTTTCTTAGCCCTTTGGCTCTGCAACTCCTGGGCCACAGAAATCTCTGGGGATGCTGGGAGCCTTAGGAGGCCTCACAGCCTTCCCCTCTGAGGTTCCTCAGCTGAGTGTGAGGGTACAGCTCAGTCCCCATGTTCCCTTCTGAGGTTCTCCTTCCCTTTCTTATCTTTCAGCCTTCCCTCACATAAACCATAAGCAACTCAGTGGCTTAACTTTGGGAAGCAAATTCATCATGGAAAGTGCCTATAGACAAATTCCTTCTGCTTTGCAAGCCATAAGCTTCCAAGGCAAGGGGGAAGTAAAGACAAAAACATCAGTGAGCATCTCAAGAAGTTACCCAGCAGTTACAGTCCCCCAAGATGAGAGATGGTTGGAGGCATGTGCCCTGTAGAGTGTGACAAAAGGAAGGATGGGGGAGACCCATCCTTCCTTTAAAGCTGCCTATCAACACCTACCCCTTGCCCTTCAAGCCAAGAACCTCAGGGGCCCTTTCCTTCTCTCACTTCCCTTCTAGCTCTCAAAGGGAGTTGTCACCAGAAGGACCTTCCCAACTCTGGTTTGCTGATACCTGTCACTCTGTCTAAACCAGGCCTCCTCATCTCTCTCCTGGCCTATTGATTCCCATGCGAATCAATTCTCAGGATATGCAGATTTGCCCATCTCACTGTCTTTTTCTAAAGTGACCCACTTGACCTTTACTTTCCAGTCATTTCCAGAGCAACACCACAATGTTTCACCCTCAGTGCCTGTGTTCTTGATGTTTTCTTTACTAGGAAAGCAAAACTTATCTAGGAACACTCAAGAGTCACTTTTTTATGAAGTCTTCCTTCCTTTCTCCACCTTGTTGACAGACTTTCTTTTGGAGTCCTCCTGGGTCCTGTACCTAAGTCCCTGTGAGCCCCAGGCATACTTAGGATTCATACCCATTTGTTGGTATTTTACTCCCCTGCCAGAATGTGAGCCCTTCAACAATGGGAACAATGTCTCCTCAAGACCTAGCAGGTGACTGGCAAAACAATTAGGAAGGAATGGTTGTTGGGAGAGGTGATATTCCCTGGTAGGCCAGGGAGGTTCCACAGGGGTGAGAAAAGCTGAACTCTTTTCTTTCTCCTCCCTTCTTGTGGCTTCCTTTAACCTCTGTGTGTTTAGGAAACCTGTTTTATTTGTTTGTTTAAAAAGCTTGGCTAGAAATTCTCTAGTCCAAGCTGCTTGTAGGGTAGAGGGTGGAGTGGCTTTAGCTTCATGTCTTTTGTCCTTGTGAAACTCAGGAGCGAGAGAGAGAGAGAGAGAGAGAGAGTAGTAGATTGTTCCTTGTTCCTCTTGGGAGAGAAGTCAGATCTTTTGGTCTCCTGGTGTCTCCAGCTGGAGTTCACAAGCTGATCCATGATCCTATCTGTCTAGTGATACAGAAGGTTCTACTTCCCTCTTAGTATACCCAACTGCCCCCACCAAGGGAAAATGCATGTGCGGGTGGAGTGTGGGTACATTTAGAGAGATCTGGGCAGTTCAGGTGAGCACCCCCAAACAGCAGACATCCAGGACTTGAAGTAGTGACTTTCTCAGCTAACATGGGCTCTTGTTCCTTGATGGAGGAGTGGGAAAGGCTTCACTGTTTAGGGCCTCAGAGGATGTCGCTCTCTCTCTCTCTCTTTCCTCTCCCCTCAGCCCTCTCTCATCCTCTCCCTACATTATACTTCTTTTAAAGCATTTGCCTTACTCTAACCCATTACTCAGAAAACCACCCTTACCTGCATGGCAGAAGTCTTTCAAGCCTCCTCTACCCTCTGGAAAGTAAATGGCATCTAATTTTAAATCAAACGCTAGTGACCCATTTTGGAACAGCAACTTTCTGGATGGTAACTGTAGTGGGAGCAAGGGCTGCTTTTAGTCATCTTGGATCTGGTGCTCAATATGAGTTTGTTGAATGACTGTATGGCCAATAAAGGCAAAATCAGTGTTTTTAAGAGAAGCTAGAAATCCAAGGTTGTCCTCAGCCCAACCCCTCTGCCCATCCTCTCCTCCTGGTGAGAACTATCCATCTGTTAAGTGGTGGGCACTATCCCAGAAAAACATTCCTCATATTGGCCAATGATTTGACTGCTTAGTTTTCTAGACCTCTGGATGACCCTTTCAAGGGTCGACCAGTCAATGCTTTGACCCTTTGGACTGGGTCAGCAGAGGAGTCTCACCATTTCTGTGAGAACCTGAGGTGTGTTCCTGTGTTCTCTGAGCCCCTTCATTTGAGAATTCCAGTCTTCTCCTGGGCCTCCTCCTACAAGAACCCTCCCGATAGCCCATGTGGACCTCTAGATGGGGTGTGACCCTGCCCACAGAGGCCTGACTTGCTCCTTGATGCAGGATGTGTGTATACAATTGTGAAACAGTGCAAATGTGGGAGGAAGTGTAGGTTTCTACGTGCATGGTGGCTTTGGGTAAGACTATGTCCACCCTCAAACAGAAGGCAGGGATTCTGTCCTCAGCCACCAGCAATCCATGCTGCCTTTCTGGCGCCCACAGGCCCAATCGCCCAAACAGAACTCAGAGCCCTGAAAATATAAATGTGCTCAGGATCCCATGGGAGAGTTAGCTGAGACCAGCTGCAGATGGAGAGAATGGAGGCACAACTTCCCAGGGGTGGTGCAGCCTGCTCAGACTAACCATCGCATTGGAGTACACCTGTCTTAGTGTGGATTCTCCCAAAAAGAGGCCCAAGACAAGGGCTGGAATGCAGGTAATAGCAGAAACAGGAGTGAAGAAATGGGAAACCAAGATAGAGAAGGGAGAAAAGCCAATCCGAAGGGGTGTTGATGAGCCAGTTACTGCTATGGGCTCCTCAGAGAAACCTGGTGGAACAGTCTCAACACTGCCCTCCCAAATGATGAGGAGGCTGGGGTATTTACGTTATGACTTCCATCTCCCTGTTGCTTCTAAATGACCATCAGGGAACTTTCAAGTTGTGGCTGTGCAGCAAGGCAAGCTACCTAGCTCAGCTCCTCCTCCCTCTACCACTACCACCACCATTAGAAACCCCCACCCTCACCCCCACAATTCCTGCCCCTCTTGAGTTCTCTCACCCAATTGTGTCACTACCTTTTCTCTTTGTTCTTAGGTCTGAGCTTGTAAGAGGAAGTGAAGTGGGGTGATATCTTTGCCCACAAACCGTTCTAAGAAAAAGGAACTATAGTGGTTCTTCCCCCATTTGAACATATCCAATCTATCCAAATGCTCTTCGCCATCATCACCTTGTCCCAAAGCAAGGCACAGGAAAGAGAGAGAGAGAGAGAGGAAGAAAGCAGGCAGACTTTCTGGAATGACTTCTGGCATCCCGGAGTCATAGAAGCAGAGCTAGAAGGAATGAACCCTCTCCTTAGAAAGATGAGCCCCCTGTTTTGTTTCTCCTTTTGCTTCTCCTGCTATTGCAGCACCTCCTCTAAGCAGGCTTCCCCGGTTTATCTTGGCTTTACGCCCTTCTAACCCACATGATTGTAATTGGGACTCAGTCCTTCATGCCCTCTGAAGGCTCTGAGGCAGGCAAAGACCATGACTGGGGGAAGAGCCTTGAACTCTGTAGTGGAGTGTGTCCTCCACCGTGAGACACAGCTTCCATCACAGGCCTCTGGCTCCCTTACCTAGAGTTCTCACTCGCCTGTCTGTCATCCAAAGGAGTGTACCAGGAGAAGAATGCTGGGAGGCAATGTGTTTCTAATACCACCAGAGGCTTCTTCCCTCCCTCGCCCTCCCCGGTTAAAATGGTGGAATGAACCCACACGTCTACTTTTGCTCCTTCCTGAAACCCACTAAAACTATTCTAAAGGGATTTTTTTTAATTATTTATTTATTTTTAAAGATTTTATTTATTTATTTGACAGAGAGAGACACAGCAAGAGAGGGAACACAAGCAGGGGGAGTGGGAGAGGGAGAAGCAGGCTTCCCCGCTGAGCAGGGAGCCCGATGTGGGGCTCAATGCGGGGCTCAATGGGGGGCTCGATGGGGGGCTCGATCCCAGAACCCTGGGATCATGACCCGAGCTGAAGGCAGAAGCTTAATGACTGAGCCACCCAGGCGCCCCAAGGGATTGTGTTTTTAAAAAGACACAAACTCACAAGGACAGAGAGGATAGAAAGGGAGACAATGGCAAAAAGAATTTTGTAAGCTGGAAAACGGATGAGTGGAGATTGACTTAGCAGACTCAAGAAAGCGAAAAACCCAGGAAAAGCTAAGAACAGCCTTATTTTCATGGCAAAATCCTAAAAACAAGACAAAACAAAAACTCCAAAAAACAA